ATGTGGCAGGCTGGCTTAGGCTGAGCTGACTGAAATTGAATCCAACGAAGTCGGAGCTGATCAGGAGTAAAGATCCCACTACTGACCTTCAATGGGGTGCCATTGGTGCCAGCGCCAAGGGTCAGGAGTCTGGGAGTGCTCCTGGACGCCGCCTTAACAATGGAGGCCCAGGTAGCAGCCACTGCCAAGTCAGCCTTTTATCATCTTCGGCTGATCAGGCAGCTGGTTCCCTTAGTCGAACGCAAGTCCTGGCCACAGTTATCCATGCTATGGTCACCTCAAGGTTAGACTACTGCAACACTCCCTACATGGGGCCGCCCTTGTCCCAAATTTGGAAGATGCAGCTGGTGCAAAATGCAGGAGCCAGGCTGTTGATGGGTCTCTCCATATGAGATTACATCCAGCCTGCGCTGAAGGCATTGCACTGGCTGCCAATAGTATTCCGGATTCATTTCAAGGTGCTGGTTTTGACCTTTAAAGCCCTATATAGTTGGGGGCCTGCCTACCTGAGGGACCGCCTTTCCCCATATGTGCCCCAGAGAGCACTGAGGTCAGGGTCGCAAAATTGCCTGACTCTCCCTGGCCCGAAAGATGCCAGATTGGCCACTATGGGGGCTAGGGCTTTTTCAGTGGCAGCTCCACAGTGGTGGAATGAGTTCCCGGAGGACATCAGGGCTCTGCGGGACCTTTTACAGTTCTGGAGGGCCTGTAAAACAGAGCTCTTCCACCAGGCCTTCAATTAGGAGCTGCCACTGATGAATGAACCATCGTAAATTGAGCGAATGAACCATCATAAATTGAGCACACCACGGCCCTATATTACTACGCTGAATATGGCATTTCCTCATCGGACCATGTATAGATATCTGTATATCGCCACCATCTTATATATTAGCACCTTATATAATTCTTTTAATTGTGAATTTTTACTGTATTTATTGGTTTTATTGCATTTTAACTGTGTAAGCCGACTTGAGCCAGTGCTGCAACGGCAAGGCGGGATATAAACTGAAAGTAATAAATAAATAAATGAAGGGTGGCATGAATAGTAGTATGAGTTTATTTGCTACATGGTTTACAGTTACTAAGGGTGGGGGTAGGAATTGCTCTTTATAGTACTCTACCTAACATACAGCATGAATTTGTAAAACTCACAGAACTGCAGACATATGTAACTGTACTTTCTCTGAAAAAAAATATTTTCTTTCTAAAAGGATGATCTGATGGGTCTCCTCTGGCAACCCAATCTACCTGGGACAGCATTCATATCCTACACCATACATAAACTACTGGAAAATAAAATATTAGCTCCTGAAAGGCAACAATCAGAACAGACAAGCAAGTGAACCAAAAAGTATTTGATTTGATGTTCAGAAATACTTCTCAAATTTTGCTTGAAGTTAATTAATAAAAGGAATAGCCAAATGTATTCATTTTTAGCACAAATTTTACTGTCTCTGAACCATTCTGAACTGTGGGCTGGGATTCAATAATTGCACAGCTAGTTGCATATGGCCAAGGAAGCTTTGGACTTGTGTGCCTTGATCCCACCTTGGCATGAGGTGCACCATTTTTTTTTAACCAGAGAGAACTTCATAAGCAGTCTGATGTGGCACATGGTTCTGTTGCTTAAATCTTCACTAGACCTGTTCAAGCCTTCAGATGTGCACCAAGTGGCTCTTTGGATCTTTGCGAAATATTAGCATTAGTGACTAAAAACATACTAGTAAGGTGACCCAATATTCTGACTCAGAATAGTGTTTGTTCATAAAAGGATGATACAGGGGAAAAGGAAAACACCCTTCCAATAGCCACTAGGCAAGAAGAAAACATGCTGAAGTTGGCACTTTACACTCCACACTCTTCCTCGTCTGGTTATTTATCCCAAAGGTTAGCCAAACAGATGAAAAACAATGTCTGGCAACAAAGTGAAATGATCATTTAATGCTTGAAATGATTCTTTCAACTGCTGAGTCATAAATCACTTTTTTTGGGGGAAACTGGGATTTTTCCTTGTAAACTTACAGAAGCAGTGTTTTTCAAAGTTACACAACAGTTACAGCCGAGTTTCTAGTCCAATCACTTGACCCTCGGTATCACAAGATGCTGCTTCAAAAAACTAAAAGCACTCCTTTAAGAAAAACTGCAGCAGCAAATACAAAGGTCACATGAGGACAAAAATTGTTAAAATCATTAGCTAGGAGTTGCCAGTACTCTGTCTTCATGAGCTAAGTCTTATTTCAATAATATAATTCATTAATCAATGAGACTTAAGGGGAATAAGGGATGAAATGTTTAGTTCAATAAGTCCATCCGACTATAGAACTTGTCAAATTTTTGATCAGGCACATTTTTCAATTTAACATTACTTCTTAATGAAGCAGCATTTATTTATCGGCTGTTTTCTGTCTGCAAGGACTTACATTTCCAACCAGGGCTATTTTGGGGCAGGAACGCACAGGAATGGAGTTCCAGCTGGCTTCAGAGTTAGCCATGCCCACTACAGCCAAAACTTCTAGGTGCATGGCTACAGAGAGAAGGCCTGGAGAGTGACCCCCCTGGCAACTCCGAGGTGGGTGTGCCAGGGGTGGTCCTGGAAGGATCGGAGAGGCATTTAAATGCCTCCCTGTGCCTTCCCCGGCCTGTCCAAGGGCCGGCTTGCCTGGGCTCTTTGCAGTCGTGGAGAACCCAGGCAAGCCAAGGTAAGGCATGGGGGTGTGGCCTAATGAGCTGTGCTGTCAGGGTGTGGCCTATTATGCTAATGAGTTCCTGCTGGGCTTTTTCTGCAAAAAAAGCCATGCCCAAGACTCTTGCCTGCTCTCATTGAGCACCAGAAAAGCTAGTGAAAAAACAGAATATAGCAATTTATATGTTCTATTGTTATTTATTTATTTATTACTTCGATTTGATATACCGCCCTAACCCCCGTGGGGGTGTCTGGGTGGTATCATGTGGGGTGCTAGTCACAATGAGCCCTAACTAAGGCCACATTGATTCTATGGGTGGGGCTGCCTACCGGCACCCAGGTGGAGGCTGATGTCTCTTCGGCTCGGCTGTTCTCTTTCGGCTCCATTCCCGGCAGCTAGTTGTTCTTTTCCTGGTGCTTAGGCAGTCAGGCGGTCTGATACACAGGTGACGTCCTCCTCCGGTCTGGCTGCGTCCTTCAGGCTCCGCCGCGCCTTTGGATGACGTCACTGTGCCTCCGCCTCTGCTGACGACAGCCGCCTGCTGTTTCTGCCGCTGGCCACCAGGGATCACTCCTTTCCGGCTCTGCTGCTACTGCTCGCTGCCGCCTCGACGCCATGCCACTACCTCCGGTATGCTGCTGCAGCCGATGTCCTGCTGCAGTCGTCGTTGCCGCCGCTGCCTTCCACGCACCTCCGTAGAGGAGGGTGCCCCCTACCCTTCTAAGGGTAGGTTCCCATTTATCTACTCGCCGTCAGTTACTTCAGCTTTCGAACCGCTGGGTTGTTAAATGTTAATGTCATTTATAAAATTAAGTAAAACTATTACTACAAAAAAAGAATATAGCAGTCTGCAACATGCACTCCTCTAGCCTTTCACAAACGTTTTAACTGTACAAATAAAGTTGTGATTAATCAATTACAGAGAGGCTGTGGCTCAGTGGTAGACCATCTGCTTGGCACGCCGAAGGCCCCACATTCAATCCCCAGAATCTCCAGTTAAAAAGATCAAGGCTGAGGTGATGCAAAAGACACCATTTCTTGCAAGGTAAGGCTCCATTATTTTATAGGCATAAAATTATACATTAACATTGCTCACTATTCACATCAACTGATCAGTGTCATATATTCAAACTGTTATTATGTGCAAGTAAATCTGATAGCTATGAAAGCATGCAGTGCTGATAGAATTGCTGTGAACAATCAATGTGACCTGAACATTGGCCCAGTCCAGAGATATGCACATTCACTACTGAGCTGCCCATTAACTATTTGATTTACTTAGTCACACAGCAGAGGGTCACTACCACTGGGCATATGCATATAACCCCAAATGCCAGAAGCACTCTTCTGTGAATTTTACTTATTCTCATGAACAGCTGATACAAAGGTTGCTGCTACCAGGATCTCACCAACAGGTTTGCATACTCAAGAGTTCAGTTCAGGACACAGGTCTGACCTGGCATGAGAGAACCATGCATCACCTGCACAAAAATGCAAGCACAAGGCACATTTTAATTAACAGCACTTAGACTAACCAGCCTGAGAACTGGTAATCAGCCACTCAGCACTGGATATCTGAGTGCCTGCTGGCACAACACTGGTATAACCATCCTACAAGCCCAGGAAAACAGTTTGTGACTTGCACCTGCTGTGTCAGTATCACCAACCCATCTAGAACACTTCTATGCTGATGCAGCACATTTTAAGAATAGCTCTTAAGTAATGAATTTTTTTTGCTGCAGTGCACTTTTTGCCCTATAGTTCCAAGTCCCTTTTCAAATCGCATAGAAATTTTTAGCCACCCAAGATATTTAAATCAATTTTTCTTTGCAAATAGTCAGCAGGATACATAAGAAATAAGCAAGAGCTCAAATAACCCAACTGTTGACCCCCCCAAAAAGTACATACTGTAAAAAAACACACATCAGTGTACAGCCCAAAGTGTTATTGACCTAAACTTTTCATTTCAAGGTTTGACTTGCACACTGCTTTCAGAGACACAGAGGTATCAAGTAACAGAAGAATACTCCAGAATTTATAACCAAAGTTACAGGGGGGTAAAGGAACTGCGATGAAATGCCAGTGTAAAAAATTGCTATCAGCTTACTGAAATGAGACAATTGCTGATCCATGTCAGGAGACCAAGTCAATAGAGCTAAAAAGAGAGAATTGAACCTCCAATTACAGCTACACATTTATCTTTTCTCCTTACATTTGTATAATGTACAGCACCACCTGTTGGACAGAATTTTAAAATAATCAGAGGTAATGGAAAAGTTTCCCCTTTGAGTACCATTGCACTGTAATGTGTACCTGAAGCAGATGCAAAGCAGCCTGGGATGTGCGGAGACCATATTGTGCTGTAAATGACACCTTCGTGGCCATTAAAAGTACATACTGACTGTCCCACAGTAGGATCCCACTAAATAAAACATAAACAAACAAACAGCTGTTTGTACAATGTAATTGCTGCAGGCAATACATCGCACTTTATTCTCTCATGTTTAAAACATAGATTAGGTCCAGGAAAAATGGGCACTTTAATAGCAAACAGTATTATTATAAGTAGGTGTATTAGATTTTCACACACAGAGAGAATGCTCTATGTCTGAGCACAGAAGAGAGGAAAACCATTTTTCTCTGTCTAAATAGTCTAATCTACACAGAATTTATTTTAGTTTAACTTTGTCAGCCCTGGACTTTCAAAAACATGCTGCAATCTTGTGCACACTTACTTGGAGGACTCATTGAAACCAGAGAAACTCACTTCTGAGTAAACATACGACTGTGAAACAAAATCCTGTGTATCTAGATAGATTTAAAAACTAAACCAATTTGAACACAGAAAATTGCCTGCTTCAGAACAGATTCAATAGCACTGAAGAATCAAAGCAAAAAAATCAATATAAATAGCTGATAGCATGTTTGTCCCTGAAAGTAACACAAAATAAAAAGGTGTCATCCTCCATTATAGCAACTTTTTCAGTGTAGGAGTGTGACTCTAAAGGCTACTAAAGATATACACATAATGTTTAGCTTTGCTTTTAGTAACATGCATCTCAGAATATTGCTACCTTTCCATCCTGGTTGATGAAACATTCTATATAATCCACATGCCTGAATATTCTCTAATATGCATCTCAGAATATTGCTACCTTTCTATCCTGGTTGATGAAACATCTCTCCTTATATATAATTGAATAGTGGGTGCCAAAGTTCTAATTCTAAAATGCACTCCCTTAGTGTATGGCTGATGGCACTGCTCCTCAGCATATATCGCCACCAATCAGAAGGCAAAGCCCAGGTCCCGCCCACACCACAACTGCTGCGACAACCTGGTCTTTTGCATATGGAAGCTGATTGGACTTCAGTCCATTCCACACCTCAAACTCCCCCCCCCCCGCAAGGCAGTTGGAATTTTCAGTTGCATACCTCATAGGGGAGAGGAGAATGGGTAACAATGGTTACCACTCTCCAGGTGAGGGCTACAGATAACTCAAACATACAAATGCTCTTCAGGTAGCAGAGATCAGTCCCTCTGGAGAAAACAGTGGACTCTGTCATCACACCCTGCTGAGGTCGCCACAGGAAACTGACACTGTTTGGCCAAAGCCAGAGTACTCTCCAAGAGCCTCTTTCTAGATCCCGTTGTATTTATTTCCGCAACGGGCATTATTTCTAGTTCTATATAATCCACATGCCTGAATATTCTTACTTAAACAGACATCAGTACAAAAAATACGACTATATCAATTCTTACTGGCTTTAGATTCTATTTCCCACTGTAGAATTTTTAATGGAAGTCTACAACGCCATACTGCCTGGACCCAGTCCTTCTACAAGAAAGGGAACAGCGACTGTCTTTGAGACACAGTCAACTCAGGGTGCAATCTTAAGGACACCTCCCCAGGAGTAGGCCCCACTAAATAACATGGACATACTTCGGAGTAGACCCACTTAGGCTTGCTCCCTGAGTAACTGAAAGGCCAAACAGCCTCCTACACCCTCAGCTGTAACTGATGAGTATGTTGTCCAACTATAAGATTCCTGATGAAATGGAGAACCATCATCACATTCCGGTTCGGTCTGGGCTCCCTAAAACATGAATAGCCAAAATAGTAAGCTTCTCTCATATCCCAATGATAAGAGAAAATTAATTGCTAAGGAAAGGATAACTGGAGATAAACAATGGACAAAGAAAGATGGCCAGAAGATTGTGTGTCAGACTAGTTGTCTCTATTGATGGGGGAGCCTCTGGAGTTCTCAACAGGCAGAGTGAAACTCTTCTCAAGTGGTGCCTGTTAGCTTGTAGCACAGCTATTAAACTGCAATCTCATTCCACTGCCTCCCTCCCTCCCGCATGCAGTTAATCACTAGGGTTCTTCTGTCAGTTGAGTTGTGGAGGTAGTTAAGTTTAAGTCTGGCTTTTGATAAAAGATTTTGGAGCTTAGTTAATAAAGAAATAAATGTATATTACAGGCTATGTGTTTGATATATCCTCTCCTAACATACCTGTTAGGAGATGTACCTGCTGGGATTTTAAAAAGAACATTGCATATTGATCAGGAACCCAGCTATAGAAATTTTTAAAAATCTAGAGAAAAGACACTTGTTATGATTATGGATCAGATCATAACTTACAAACATATCAGATCACAGAAGCCATGAATGTATGACAAATCTGTAAGAACCTGGCCCCCCTTTTTTACAGACTTTGGTACTTTTCTAATCCACTGAATATGGATTAGAAGGAAGAGGTATTAGAATGCATTTAACTACATATAGCTTCTTCCCTGCTTTTATTTTCTTACTCTACTAGTAATATTCTACTGTTATATTAACATTGGAAAAAGTGCAGAAAAGGGCAACTAGAATGATCAAAGGCTTAGAACACTTTCCCTATGAAGAAAGGTTAAAACGCTTGGGGCTCTTTAGCTTGGAGAAATGACGGCTAAAACATGATCGAGGTTTATAAGAGTATGCATGGGATAGAGCAGGTAGAGAAAGAAGTACTTTTCTCCCTTTCTCACAATACAAGAACTTGTGGGCACTCAATGAAATTGCTGAGCAGTCGGGTTAGAACAAATAAAAGGAAGTACTTCTTCACCCAAAGAGTGATTAACACATGGAATTCACTGTCACAGGAGGTGGTGGCAGCTACAAGCATGGAAGGTTTAAAGTGGGAATTAGATAAATGTATGGAGCAGAGGTCCATCAGTGGCTATGAGTAACAAGGTATAGGTAGGAACTCTGGGGCAAGTGATGCTCTGTCTTCTTGGTGCTTGGGGGGTGGCAAAAGTGGGAGGACTTTTTGTAGTGTTTGTACGGGGAAAATGTTTTTAAAAGAAAAAATGCAAGTTTTGTCGATTTGTCTTGTGCTATATGGGGAACCCCATGCTGTGAAGTCTCCTAGGAACATAATTAGCTCACTGCACATTATGTGGCAACAACTGCAGGATTATCTTCTTTGATGTAGCCAGTTCCAATAAATCATAACAAGGGAGAGCATCAGTTGAAGCACAAACAGAAATATATACACAAACATATGATTTTTTTGGAACATCAATTATGACACATAAATTCAAAGACCAAAAAGTAAAAACATACCAGTTTTGCTGTTTGATCCCATGATCCAGATACTATTAGCTGTTCTCCTCTGGTCTGGCTCCAATCAACACTGTAAACCTGAAAGTATTATATGCATTTTAGTCTCCATATAAAACAAAACATCCATATTTAATAATTTATATACAAATATTTTTTCTGTCCTTCCACAAATGGCCATATTTATTATTAAAGGAATGAAAACATATTCCCCTCTAAAATTTGCACATATGTTGCTTTTGTAAATTCTGTTGCTAAACAAAATCCCCAAACAAAATCTTCCCTTTATTTAACACCAGGAGTTACACAGTCTGAGTTATAAAGACTTCAAATACCATGTAAGATAAATTAAAATAATCTGCTCCTGGATAAGGATGGTTCCAAATGGTTTTCTGACAGCTCTGGAGTTCTTCCAGCTGGTGTGGCTGACAGCAATGTCAAAGAATTGCTTGGCCTCTGGCAACTGGGAGGCCACACAGGTGATTAGCACAATAGCTACTAAGCACACTCAATGGACTTTGAGCCCCTGGTTCTTCAGAGAACTGACGGCAAATGTTTTCTTCATTAGCAGGTTTCTTTCTATTGGGTTATAGTTTTGGTTTTTTTGGAGCTTCCGTGAGCCTCCATTAAAAAATACTTGTCTGTCAAGGAGTCCGAGCCTGAACCCCATTGTGTTCCCAGGGCTACTGTGCTCAGTAAATCATCCTTTGATTAAAATATATTAAATTTATTAAATACCTAAAGAACAAATTGATTTCTAGACAATACAAACTCTTAAGGCCATATAGCTGAAAAAACAAAGAAGCATAATACATTGATACTAGGTATCAGATGGCACAATCTTAAAGTCTCAGAGTGCAAGACAGAAGCTTCAGTATCCTCTACTTAGCTGTTCATTGCAGTGCACATTTAACTCAATTCAGGCCTCAGTCCACCAAAATCATAAAGTTAGCATGGTCTCTCTCTGGCTTCTAGCCCCATTATAGTCTCAAGCCATCTGGTGTCAGGTGATGGTCCAAATCCAATCATTTATCGCTGTTCTTACATCTAGTCAGCCGGGTTGCATCTTTCTATGAGGCTACACCAGCTTTGTAACACTAAAGGATTCTGTGTTTAAGACTGTGACTGGTTGCCTGTCTGTAAATGGTATTATATGAATGAATTGTTGTGAGATTCTTATAGACAAGACTGAACACAAGAATTTTCATAAAGACTTCTATATAGTCTCCGCGATACAGTACACTACAAATGTGCATGTATATATCTTTCTATCTGAAGAAATTCAAAGTGAAGTGCACACCCAGGATCTTTATTATTGTATAATTCTTATCAGTTTGCACATTTGATATTCCTTGTCAGTGACTGCATATCACTTTGTTTGCATTGTATTGCATTTGTTCTGGATTTTGCTTTACAACATATATTTGAATTGTCTTAATATAATTGATTACAATATTGGTTTAGCATCTCATTCCACAGCTTTTTTTGTTCTTATTTATGTTACTGCTGGGAAGTCTCTTTTTCTGTTTAGACCAAATCCAATCGGGCATGTTCTCGCTAGAACCCTCTAGAAGATTACGCCACTGCTCCTGCCTCCCCCCTCCCATACAGTGGACCACAGGTTCCCAAGCAGAGATAACTACCACATTCTTGACTCCAGCCTTGAAGATAAGAACCACGTAGGCTAGAAGGCCTACAAGCTGAAATAGGCCCATTACTATTCACATTACTCCTTGGGAGGAAACAGGAGTACTTTGCCTCACACTGTCCCAGCTATGCCCCCAGGAACAAACAGCAGATGCTTTGAGACTTCCGGTTTATGGCGACACGCAGGCAGACACATCTCCCGGACGTCCTGGGGATGCAATCTGCACACCAGCGTGTAGGAGGGGGTGCGACAGGTTGCGACCCCCCCGGAGCCTTGGTAAAAGGCTCCTAGCCAGGGGGCTTTTGAGGGGCGACCTCTTCACCGGCGTAATGCCAGAGAATTGAGGCACTCCTCCACCCCGAAGGTCCTGCCGCTGAGTGTCCGTATGGAATTAGTGTGGCTGACCGGGACAAGCGTCGGAGATCGGGCGAGAAAAACCGATGCCGAGCGTGGCCAGATGGCCGGCAACAAACTGTGAGTCGGGTTGAAGTGAGCATGAAGATTTAAAAAGAAAGCTGCCCCCCCCAATGAGTGACGAAAAGCGAGCGGGGGAGGGGTCCCTCCCAAACGCATAAACGAAAACACAGAAATAAAGGGGGGGGGAAGAGAGTTACCAGAGCGCAGATAAGCGTATGGGCAAATATCAGAGACTTTAGCAACTTTTAGAAAAGTAAATAATCCAAAAAGATGGCGGGGAAGAAACCAGAAAAAGACAAACTGTTGAAAGCGAAACTAGTGGGCAGTCCTTGAACAGAAGAGACCACTGAGCTTTCTAAAATGTTGGCAGATTCCTTGCGCCCTCTGCTGGATGAGATGACTAATATCAAGCAAGAACTGTCAACAATTGGTCAGAGTTTGGCTTCACAGCAGCTACAATGGCAGAGAAGGTGAAGGAAATGGACGCCAATACTAAAAAAGTTAAGAAAAAGGTGCAAAAGCTGGAAATGAAACAAGCTACGGAAGAGTCACAACTTTTACAGCTGCAAATGGAGAAAGCAAATTTGGTCCTACGGTTCCAAGGGGTCCCGGGATCTAAAGGAGAGAATCTGAAGCTACTGTTGAGTGATGCAATAGCCCCAATGACAGATTTGACAGCGGAATACCTTTACAGCGAGATGGATGTGGTCTACAGGTCCTATTCCTTATACATCAAGAAAAATAATCTGCCTGGGGAAATAGTAGTCAGATTCTCGAAGAGACATGTGAGAGATTCTATTTTGAAAGCAACTACGGAAACACCCTTGAAAATCGGGGACAATAAGATCAGGAT